AAAATAACATCTAAGGCCCAAATATAATTCCTTTCTTGGGCCTTCAACCAATAAAATCCAACAAGACAAAAATCCCAAACCATAAAATCCAGATGGCCCAACATGACCCAAGACAATCCGAGCCCAAAACCGAAGCCCAAAACGAAGTGGCCCAAAACTGCTGCGTACGCAGGGCGTACTCCGGAGGTACGCTCAGCGTACACGAGGCTATGCAAAATCCATCATCGGGGTGGCTGATTTGGTACGCGGGGCATACACCTCCCTATGCGGGGTGTACCCTCGCAAAACCCATTTTTTTCATAAGTACTTAATGGCTTTAGCACTTAATCTCACACTTCAGATCCAAGGTCCAGAGGCATACTGGGGTCATAAAGTTCCCAACTTTATGACTTTCCACGTCCAAAAGTCCTTAATGCAAGGTCTTAATCAATTAGGACCTTCTAAAAGAAGCATGGAACCAAACTAGCTAAAGGGACCTCATTTTTATGGCTTAGAACCCTTCTTAGGGTCTGAAAGGACATCCCAAAACGTCCAAAACCAAACATGAATAACAACGAGACTTTTGGGACAATAAGAACATCATAAAGTTACCAAAATGAGATCCAAGCAAACAAAGCATAAAGGTAACAACTTTTTATCTTCTGGAGCTTCCTAAGAAGGTGATGATCCAAGATCGACAAGCTTACTTCAACTTCTTATCCCCTTGATGCAACTCATTCTTCCTTAAGCACACAAAGAACACACTTTTGTCTCAAAACACTATCTTATGGGATTAGGGTTTTCCAAAAACGACTCAAGGGCTTGGAGGATGAAAAGATGAGGCTAAATGATCCATAAAGGTGCTTAAATACTATAACATTCAAAAATATTGTCCCAAAAATTTCATTTTAATAATAGATAAAATAGTATTTTCCAATCTCATCCAAACATTTAAATAAAAACCAATGTATCAATTGCCATAAAATCAGAGTAAAAGATCATAAGCGGAATCCCAATGGTGTGTGCGATGTAGTCATCCCGAACTCTTCCCTTTACAACCAGAAGTACCTGAAACATAAACTAAAAACCGTAAGCACAAAGCTTAGTGAGTTCCCATAAAATACCACATACCAAACATACAATAAACATATAAGTGGGCCCCGCCATGTCATCGGGCCCTGCCCGGCATGAGACCCTGTCCGACATCGGTTCCCGCCCAATATCGAGATGAGCTCGGTAAACGGGCCCCGCACAACATACAATAACATATATCAAATAAACACATACACACATAATAATCACATAGATACATAGCATACAAATATTCATCAGGCCCCGCCCGGCATCGGGCCTTTGCCCGGAAAACATATAAACACAAGCACATGAAAGAGTCACAAAGACAGCTAGCATACTAACAACATAACATAAACATGGGGCGACATTGGTGCCTTAGACCTGCTAAAACCGGTAAGGAAACTCACCTTGAATACATAATGATAGCTGAACAAATCCCGACTCCGAATATCGACTCTACTCAACCCCTAAACATAAACGATTTCCTTAAATACAACTCAGAATGCCCAAAAGCCCCTTATAGGTCAAACTTGGTCAAATACTAAAGTCAAAGTCAAAGTCAATGGCCTGAGCTGACACAACACACCGAGTTATCCTTCAACTAGCCGTGTTTCTCCATTAATCTGCAAAGTCGGGAAGAAACTGATCCAACTCGCCGAGTTCGCCAGAAACCCAACATCTTAATTCATTAAGCCGACACTATCGAAACTAAGAGCTTTACAACTCAGATCTCAACTTAAATAGCATCTAGAAGGGTAAAGTTTCCAACTTTACCCCTAGGAACCACCAAAATGGGTTCAAAACCCAAACCCTAGGCTTAAAAGGGTGAGGACTTAATCATTAAGTACTAAATCACCAAAGGTATAGCCCCAAACTGCAGATCTGGACCTTAAAGCTGAATGGCCATGTAAAGTTTCCAACTTTATGCTCATGCATGACTAGGAGAGGCTCAAATGCTCAAAAGAGGCCAAAAGAAGGACTTAACGAATGCATGAATCCCTTAAAACCATAAAGTTGGAACCTTTCTGCCAAAAGAGATCATGAAGATCTTAGATCTGAAAGAATAAAAATTTGGGTCGTCCTACTTCCCCAACAACCACCCAACCATGGCTAAAAGCATACAATATAAACCAAGAAGAGATCGAAGCAATTATTAAGCAAGGTGAGAACTTGATACCTCAAAAACTTGGCAAATGAGCTAGTGATCTGGATCCAAGACTCCTTCTTCAAGCCAAGTAACTCCCAATTCCTTAGCTCCTTCAACAAGCACCAAAAATGAACACTCAAGGCTCTCCCCAAGCTCACACACTCAATAATGGAAGGTAATGCTCGATTTTAGGGTTTTTGGACAGAGGAGGCTGGTAAGGAGGCCAGCCAAGGGACTTAAGGTCTTTAGATAGGGTGCAATACCCTAAAAATTAGGGTTTGCTTCCCAGCTGCCAACTTACTGAGTTGAGGCACCTGGACTCGCTGAGTTGATTCATTATACTTCGCGGCCAAAAACAACTCGACACGCCGAGTTGAGGCTTCCAACTCACCGAGTCTTCCAAGAAAATATAAATAATTGGAAAATAAATTCATACCGGAAACCAGGAGTTACAATTCTCCCCCATTTGAATCAGACTTCGTCCTTGAAGTCCGCTGCCTCGAACAATCCTGGGTAATGCTCCCTCATCTCCTCATTGGGCTCCCAAGTCCACTCTGACCCCTTGCGGTGCAACCACTACACCTTCACTAGCTCCACAACCTTGTTCCTCAAGGTTTTCGTCTTCCGATCTAATATTGTCACTGGTCTCTCAACATAATTTAGACGGCCATCCAACCGAATATCCTCCAAGGGTACAACTGCGGGATCATCCACCAAGCACTTCCGCAGCTAAGATACATGAAATGTGCTATGAATCTGGCTGAGCTCGGCTGGAAGATCTAGACGTTATGCAACCCGGCCCACCCGAGCCAAAACCCTAAAGGGACTGATATACATGGGGCCCAACTTGCCCCGCTTCCTGAACCGGATGACACCTTTACAAGGTGACACCTTCAGGAGAACCATATCTCCCAACTGGAACTCCAAGTCTAACCGACACTTGTCGACATAGCTCTTCTGCTGACTCTGAGTTGTCTGGAGCCTGCTCCGAACCTGCTGAATCAACTCAGTAGTCTTGAGTACCACCTCGGTACTCCCTATGACTCGCTGACCGACCTCGCCCCTACAAATTGAGGTCACTACTAGAAAAAAACCCTTTAATGACGCGCAACCAATGACACACACTGATAGAGGACACGCATTTGTGTGTGCCCTAAAAATTAATGTCAGTATTTCAAAATTTTAAGGATAGAGGACACACATTTATGCGTACCCTAAAATTAGTTTCAGAAAAGAAAAAAAGAAATGCGGAGGGCGCCTTTCATAAAATGTGCGTCATGTAAATGTGTCGCTTTATAAATTTTTAATGAAACACGCGTTTTAGGCGGGAAATGAAATCGACGAAAATTACCCCCGCCTATTGGATCCCAAAAATTAAACCCCCCGCCTCTTCGACTTAGCAAGAAAAAGCCCTAGGGCCTTCATCTTCATCTTCAGCAGTGGGAATACCTAGGGCCTTCGTCTTCACCCACCTCCAGCACCTCCAACCCTTCTTCATTCGTCCAACACAACTCAGGCTTTCTCTTCAAGAAAAACTCCAACTACATCCTCTACATGAAAAAAAACCCTAATTGGCAGCCATATTTTGACGTCAGGTACCCTTGGGATGAAAGCCTCATTTTGATTTAGGGGCCCCTTGGGCTCTAGGGCCGTTTTCTCATATTTAGTTCTTACATCCCCTTTAACCAAAACCTTAGCATCCCAAAATAACCATAATCTTCCATTGATTATGTGGATCAATACTTCGTGATCAATCTCCCAAAGCCTTCCGTGGTGAAATAATTTATTGTCGTTTTGTTTTAACTTTTCTATCTTCAAAGACCACAACCACATTCAGGGACGACCTAAGTGTAGGGCGACCTGGGCCACCGCCCAGGGCATCACTATGAAGGGGGCATAAAACTTAGTCGAGCTCTTATAGGCATATTAATTTTCGGCACAAATTTTGATATAGGGCATGAGCCAGTCGATGCATTGAAGGGTAGTAGAAGGCGGCAAAACGCAGCTCAACAATCTCGCCAAAAATTCAGAAAATGAGGAGTCGATCACATGAAATAATCAAGCCTAAAGTAAGAAATCGATTGCCATGAGTCTTGCAAGAAACGGTGATTCTTTTTGTTTTAAGAAGCTACATTTTTTTTTCTTTCATTATTTAAAGTATAAATCAAAATCTAAATTCCCAAACTCTGAAATCTGAAATTATGCATCTGAAATAGTAACCAAAATCTTATTCTTTGCGTTTTGATTATTTTCTTTCGAGAATTCTGAATGCATATTTGTCAAATGGATTTGTATGGTTTGCCTTGGTTTGTGGAATATGGAAATAGGAATCCTAGTAAATTTTCTGGTTTTATGATCTTGATTTTATATGTTGTTAAAATTTTATGATTTTTGCATTTGATAAATAGAGCCTAAACTGGACGGTTTTGCCTTTAATTTGAGTTTGGTTGAGCATTTTCTCTTGAGCTGCTGATGTGTAACATACTGCCGATGTATAAATAGAGCCTAAACTGGATAGTTTTTATTTTCCATACCATTTTGTTTTGAAACCACTTTGTTTTGAAAGCTAATAGGATTAAGGTCACAAAGTATCTCTTCTAGATGAAATCGATCCAGAGATTGCCCTAGGTACATAAAGATTTATAGATAACGTTTCAAATAGTTTCCATATTTTTCAACATATGGCTGTATAACACTATCTCCCTGTTGGAGCTTCTTCTTTCAAGGAAGCCATGAAAATGGGTCTGGAAGTAAAAACTGATTTCATTATTTGTAATGCAGGAGAACAAAGAAGGCCAGGATGCCACAAATGTTGGTGATGAAGGTGGCTTTGCTCCCAACATCTAGGTCATGAATTTTACTTTAATAAATTATATTTATATTTATATAAATAAACCAATCTGTTGTCATTATTTGTAATGCAGGAGAACAAAGAAGGTCTTGAGCTCTTGAAGACTGCAATAGCAAAAACCGGATATACTGGAAAAGTAATTTTTCTTTTTATTAAATATATGTTGACTGTTGTATTGTTTGATTGTTTCTGAAAAAAAAAGATTAATTCCAAATTCCGGGTTGTTATTGGAATGGATGTTGTTGCGTCTGAGTTCTATGAAGACAAGGGCAAAACCTATGATTTGAAATTTAAGGAAGATGTAAGAATTAATTATTGTATTAAGTGTTATTATGAAATTAGATAAAAATAAAAGGGGTTTGTAATTTTGTATTGATGTATGTTGTAGAACAACGATGGATCAGAGAAGATATCAGGGGACAGTTTGAAGAATGTGTACAAATCATTTGTGGGTGATTTCCCGATTGTATCAATAGAGAACCCTTTTGATCAAGATGATTGGGAGCATTATCAAAAGATGACATCAGAAATTGGTGAATAGGTTCAAATTGTTGGTGATGATCTTCTTGTGACAAACCCCAAGCGTGTAGAGAAAGCAATCAGAGAGAAGAGTTGCAATGCCCTTCTTCTTAAGGTATGTTGATTATTAGTTAGTCTTCATGGGTATTTTAGGGATTCTTAATGATAAGATTTATAAATTGTTTTAGGTGAACCAAATTGGGTCGGTTACAGAAAGCATCGAGGCAGCGAGAATGTCGAAGCGTGCTGGATGGGGTGTGATGGCCAACCATAGAAGTGGAGAAACAGAGGATACTTTTATTGCAGATCTTTCAGTTGGCTTGTCAACGATAATAATATTAATTAATATTTTTAGCAGATTTTGAGGTAGTCTTTTGTTATGTTATAACTTATAAATGATATTTATTATGGGAGTTTGTGTGTGAAACAGGTTCAGATTAAAATTGGAGCTCCTTGTCGTTCAGAACGACTTGCAAAATACAACAGATAATCAAATTAATCTCTACTTGTATTTATGTAAATGAGTTACTTGAATATATTTATAATTTTAATTTGAAAACTGAAGCTTCTGAGGATAGTAGAAGAGTTGGGAGCAACAACTGTTTATGCAGGAGCAAACTTGCGTGCACCAGTTGAGCCTTATTAAATCAAACTTCTAATTACTAAACTAGTATCAACTACTCTGCTTTTGTGTAATCATCTTATCTATTTCAAACCCCAAGGGTATTTTAGGAAATGCACCCCTAAACGAGAAAGCAATCGTCTTCTCACAATGGACAAGAATGCTAACCTTGCAAGCTTTGTTCTATGAAATTAATTAATAGGTGAGATTATTTTAATCAATACTATGTTATATAACGAGTGGTACTCCAAACCATCCTTAGAAGAACTAAAGTAATTTCCTTTTAACAGGTCTGGTGACAGGTGAAGAGAAACCAAACTTGGTTTTCAGAAACCAGACATGGACATGAGCGAAAGGGCATTTTGGAAAACCATGTTTGGGCAACTTTTTATAATTTTGTATTTGAAAATAATTTTCTCGTGGAGGTTAAAGGGGTTATAACATATGCTAGAAAATTGGGTAAAATACAAAAGCTCATGCAATGAATAAAGAAGAAACTGATGGGGTGGTTTTATAAGAAGATGATAGATAAATTAGAGACCATAGATCAATTTTGGACCGAAATCATACTGTTAGAAGTAATTTTGTAGGATAAGGGTCAAACATTTAACTAAATTGTAAATAAAATTACCAAGTTTTATAACAGAGTATTAATAATTGTAGTAGACATGATGATTTATTTTTTGTGTTTTAGGTATTTGCAATGAAGTGTATACATACTGTAGCAGTAGCTCCGCATGAAGAACAACAGTTTTTGGAGGTCATTTGGAATGCATTACATGTAAGACATCCGAACATCAAAGACTGAAGGGTATAATCTCTTTTTCTCCTAATTATGCCATTCTACTTTTTATTGGGTAGACTTTTTTTCATAGAGCGTTGCACTTTCAAAAATGTATTCGACTATTTTATTGGGTAGACTTTTTTTCATAGGAAGAAATGAAAATATGTAAAAGTATATTGCTGTTTTTTTTGGTTCAGATGCTTCATGAGTTTATGGATGTTTCCCAAGATGAGAAACGGATAATGCATCTATGGAACCCATTTGTCAGAAAGCAAAAGTAATTCAGTTAATCATAGTTCGTGTTATTTTGGTTTTTATAGTAATAATATGTATATATTTTACAATTACATATTTTCATAAAAAATGACCTTCCGGAGACGCATTGAAATGATATATATTATACTTGATAATAATAGTTTATATTTGTTAACATTTTGAAAACTTTTGAATTGATGACAGGTGTTAGAGATTATTCATGATTAAACTATGGAATTGCACATTACAACTTCTTTCCCTCCGCATCTGACAAGGCTGGAAAGCTACTTGCTCAAGTGTTGACCAAGGGATTGCAATACAACATGTTAGGTTACTCGATTATAAAATTTATAAATTTAGAATAAAAAACTAAAATTTTGTAAATATTGTTGCATTTAGTGTTCAAGGAAATGACGACAAAAAAACAACAAAAAAAGCAACCCGTGGTTTACCACGGGCTCACCTACTAGTTGATATTATTTCAAACTTCAATGCACCTGGTGTCCCTATTGTTGATTTGGAGTTTCTTGACCTTTGCATTGGTGAACAAGAGGTAATTAAGCTGGCTTTGGCCAATTAATTTAATTTAAACACTTTGCATGACACTCATTGGTTTTCTTTTCTGATTTGAATTACTAGACACTCTCCTGCAAATTTAAAAGGAAGATGGCACAGGCAAGGAGTATCCTTTGGAAGCTGCCCTTGAGGACACTAAAAATACTTTGATTCAAGGCATTACAAAACTCTTATTGGTAGATCATTTTGATTCCACTATCATACATACCATGTGTATTATTAATTAGTTGATATTGATATTGTACAACTGACATGATTGTTATGTAGGATTTCCGTGTTCTTGATCAAGAGTTGGGATTGATATTGAAGCTAAGAGACATGATGATTGGTTGGATACATGAAGGGTTTTAGAGCTTCTTCAGACAGCTTAATGACGAGTTACTGAAACAAGAAGGTGCCCCTTTATAGCAATGTAGTATTAGGTTATATAGTTACGGAAAACCTCTTAATAACAATGTACAATCAGATCCCATTAATATCAATGTATTATAATTTTTTGACATGATGTTATTGGATGAAATTGATTGTTTTGGTATATATGTGTTTCTATATTTTTGTATTATGCGTAAAAGAGTATCGTAAAGGCACGTTGTATATGCATATCGTAAATGGTTGCTGAAGTTTATGACACGCAAATGCGTGTTATCTTCATTTATGACAGGGGCTTTAATGATATGCATTGCGTGTCCTAAAGGCGCGTCGTAAGGTTACGACACGCAAATGCGTGTCGTCTGCCTTTATGACAGGGCCTTCCTTGATACGCATTGTGTGTCGTAAATGAGCGTCATAAATGCGTGTCGTAAATGCGCGTCGTAAATAGACGACGTGCAAAAGCGTGTCGTCTCTCGTTTTGACAGGGCCTTCCTTGACACGCATTTGCGCATCGTCTGAGCGTTTTACGACACACATTGCACGTCGTAAAAGGTTGTTTTTCTAGTAGTGGGTCCTGTATTTCCTCCCATTGAGCATCTCGAAAGGAGGTCAATCAATGCTAGCGTGATAATTGTTGTTATACGAAAATTCCGCTAACGGAAGATACGTATCCCAACTCCCACCAAAATCCAATACGCACGCACGCAACATGTCCTCAAGAGTCTGAATCGTCCACTCACTCTGCCTATCGATATGCGGATGAAAAGCCGTACTGAAATGGAGACGAGTGCCCATCTCGTCATGAAACCGCTTCCAAAACCTGGAAGTAAACAAACATCCCAGTCTGAAACTACCGATACCGGCACCACATGACGTTCCACCACCTCACGAACATATATCTTAGCTAGTTTCACTACAGAAATACTCTCCTGGATCGGGATGAAGTGCGCGCTCTTGGTCAATCGATCCATGATGACCCAAATAGAATACACTCCGCGCGCGGTCCTGGGAAGCTTCGTGTAACACCCAAATTTTCAAAACAATTTTTCACAATTTCAAAACATACTTTCCTTCATAAAATAATAATAAACATAATGTATCCACTGTCATCATAGAAAAACATATCGTAGAATCACATAAACAAAAACTCCATGAGTGTGTACAGATCATGCCGGCGCCTTCCCGCGATCCTCACTGGTAC